AAAAAGCTGCTAACTACTCTTCAAAAGATGCCATAATATGTGTACAAATCTTCAAGATAATAAATATAAAAGTTTCCTCGTGAAAAATGCTTGAAAAACCTCATTTTTTAAAGCTCCTAATTAGATGTAACCCCTTAAACAGCTCTTGCGCCTGTTTTCAACATAGAAGGGTCGCCTAATTCATGCTTAATTGTTAACAGCTTACTTTTTTCTAAAGAACGAACTTTATCTTAACACGGAGTTGAGTTGAATTTTCTCTTTAGCTGGCTTCTTTGAAAAACTTCAAATGAGATCTTCTCATCTGAGAAACTGAGTAAGATACTTCCGCCGAGATGAGTACGCGGAATACACATGTCGTTTACGAAAAAACATTTACAGAAAGACATAAGACCACACTCGCTTGTGTGGTACACAGATGGTGGAAAGACTGTAGAAGGAATTGGCGCTGGGATCACTAGCCCCAGAACAAGGCTATCGACAACTATGAGGAAATACCCCAGCATCTTCCAGCAAAGGTATTCGCCATTACCTCATGTGCAGAAATCATACTCAAAAGAAAAACTGTTCACCAACATCTAGTTGGTGACAGTCAGGCTGCACAGAAGCCGATATCATATTGTACGATTAAGTCGTATATACCTATATGGCATGGGAATGTGTTAAGAATCTTTATAAAGTAGGCGGAACATACAGATATTGGAGAAATGAAATAGCTGGTAAACTTGCCAGAGAAGCGTCCTCAATCTCGCCTACGGAACCAGAGCGGTCGCACTTCTTCCCTTTAGCTTCTCACTCAATTAAAGAGGAGATAAGAAGGTAAGAAATGAGTATACGAAACAGGTACAGGTATTGTGGTGACGGGATGAGACAATCAAGAGTTCTTATGGACGGCTACAATACCAGGAGATCTAAATAGATAATATTACTTAGTAGGAATAACTAAAGAACAGAATTCCTTATAGATCCTTACAACAGCAACCGCTTAAACTCGGAATCAGTTCTAATGAGATATGTAATGGTTTGAATGAGAAGCTGTCGCTAGAAGTAGACTGAAACATCTAGGAGTGACTCAGCCGGAGCAAAACCACAACAAATTAATCAACCCCTGAAGCGTGCTAGGTTTTTTATGGGCGCTAGGACTGTTGTAATAATGTGAAAGAATCGGTGGTCAGCCTTCCAACTCATCTATCTATGTCTATCTAAGAAAAAACACATCTAAACAGCTTTATGGTGTTGAACCTGTACAGATTTTGGGGCAGCATGTCTTCATTACGTCGAACTTCGGATTAGACAGGAGGTCATGCAATGGCATAAACTGTGCCTGCAGAAGAGTCGGAGATGATGGCAAAATGTGTGACTCAGTTTTTTTTGTCCTGAAGAGAAACAAAAATGCGTAATTTTCTAAGGAAAACTTGAAAAAGGTCTTTAAGAAAACACGTCACAAAAGTGGGGTTGGAATTTCGCTCAAGTGAATCGTTGGCTATTAAATTTTGACGTTATAAAATCAGGTTCTTGTGATTTTTATATTTTTTTTTTTTCAAATTAAAGAAGGAGTTCAGATTTTTCGATGATAATAAGAGCAGGCCATCATGGACTCGGCCGCGGTAGCCGGTAGTGGTTAGCTTGGGATCAAGTCCCAGCGGCGGCAACTCCAAAAAGTTAGGGAGTCTCCACCTCTCCGAGTGTATTTCGGAACTGAAACAAAGGCTCCTCGTAAAAAAACCTTCAGCCGTTCGGAGACGGCTTAGTATAAACTGTAGGTCCCTCCATTTGTTGGAAAAACAAATAGGCCGAATAACCACGACTTGGAGGAGGAGTCGGGAAACAAAGCGCCGATTATATATATATATATATATATATATATATATATATACTGTCTAAAAAATATTCCTTCAAAACTTGAAATTAATCCTATTGCGACTTTTCGAGCTATTCCACGAGCGTACCGGAATGTTCAAGTAAGACTTCAAATTGAAATACTGACTTTTCTAACTTGAAACCACCTCAATAGGTTTCAATGAAATTTATACAGTTTTTTAAATACTCAAAATAGTACTGCCTGAACAATAACAATTCTATATAATTTTTTTTCAAAAAATCTGGAGATAAATTTTCTAAGGATAGAATTGAACATGAAATGGTATATTATACTAACTTTTGTCGGAAGTATGTAAGTACTAGAAGGAGAAGAGAGAGACCCACCAAAATGTATACCGATTTAATAAGAACGTCAAGCTGATTCGATTCTGTCTGTCTGTTGGTCTGTTTAAACGGAAACTATACACTGAATTTTTAGGCATTTCAAACAAACCAAGTCCAGAGATATCTAAGTATATCGTATTAATCATTTGTCGGAACCGATCACATCGGTCCATTAAAACATGCGGCCCCCATAAGGCCAATTTGTTCAGATTTGTTGAGATTTTGGGTCATAAATCCTTCAATAAAGGATTGAAGGAGATGGAATTTGGTATTCTACACAAATATGATGAATTGCACATCGGTTTTGAGATTCATCAAAATCGAAGTACTTATTATTGTATAGTACCCATGAAACAACGATTTTTTTTTATATGTGAGGTTTTGGGTAAAAAGCCTCTAAGAATGTGAAATTCGGTATTGGTTGAAAAACTGTATTATATAGCATCCCAACAACTGATTTTTCAGACAAGAGGTTTTAGGTTAAAACCGTCAAAAAAAACTTGTAATACAAAAAAGTAGGCATGTTCGTGGAAAGTATAAAGACTACGGCTTGGCAGAAGACTGGACGCGAAAAATTAAAATATTCTATGCTTCTAGACCGGTTCCCCATTAACATAACGACAGTCATAATAACAGGCCACTGTTTAATGGGGCTTCACAGTGAAAATAATGTTCTACATCTCTAATGATTTTTGCCGCGGCTGTAGTGACGAAAAAGTGTAAGCGTCTATTGAACACTACCTCTGCCATTGTCCAGCCTTGACATCTGCGCGCCATATATTCCCCGAAAAATACTTCTTCGAATATCTGGCTAGTTATTTTCAGCGAAAATTGGAAGGCACACGTAATGGTTCGAACAGTTGAGAAGGTTGAAAGCGGAAGCGGTATCATAATGGAACTAGGTACGCGGGAAGTGGCGAGCAGCCGCATTAACTCAGCCCAACTCAAAGACAACACTCATTTCTTAATTGTATTAATGAAAACACAACAGCTTCTGTCCGATTGATTTTTAATTAATCCTTGCAGAGTTGTGATGCGAAGACGCAAGTAAAAGATATTTTGGAACTGGAACAATAGAAGCGATTTCTAAATTTATTCTTATTATTTCTTAATTCTCTTGTAGTCAAGTCGATTATATTATTTATCAGTTTCTTTCTCCTGGAAGAATTGTGCTAAACACTATTGGAAACAGGCTCACCTATTGGAAAACTCGCTTTCTGGTTCGGATTCCATAGGTGGCTTATCGCTAGAACTAACGAAAGAACTTCTCTTCTCTTCGGGAAGTACGCCAGAGACCAAAATATTCGAGAAAAATATTTATTTTACTTGAAATGCGGTATATAGGAGACGTTTTACTTAGATTAGCACGAAGGCTGCTCTTCTCTTCGGCATGTGAATTGTATACCCACCTAAGAAAATCGTATTTATCATCTCTGGACCAGAGCGATTTCTTATTCGAAAAAAATCTTTTTTATATTTTTTTCAATTGAAATTCTTTTTTTTCGGGAAGTGAACCGATCTATTTGGAAATAATTTACATTTTAATTGCCTGTTTCGATTCAAACTTTTGATGATATGCCTAAATGGAATACTCTTGTTTCATGGACTTGCACCAGGGATCTGGAATCAAGTTCGATTACTTCGAAATATAAATACAAACATATATATATTATATATTGGCAAAAATTAGTAGGAAGATTAACCAGATCAATAATATAATAAAAATTTAATATTTTGAGTGAGATAATACATAACTAAATTTTTTTTTATTGTTCTTTGCAAAACCAATTGGGTTAAAAATTGGACCAAAAGCAGAAACCCATAACAATATGCGGAGGAGTCTGTTGGTCGCTTTAATAAAACAAAATGATTTATTCTTTAAATAAATATTATGCCTTAATAACATTACTGCATAGCTCCTTCCCCACTTCTTGTATCGACTTTAACACAACACATTTTCCTGCTGTCCGGACTCTCTTTTTGAATTGTTCATTGATTCATGGATATAGAAAATATTTTTCTTAAATAGCTCTCAGTTCAAAAACAGTGCCAACCTTGACTTGCTAAACCCTGTTGCCACATCAGACCGAGGTCTACCACTGATTTTCTCACAATGTTTTGTTGTTTTTGTCTCATACATATTTACGGAATGTTGTGAAAAAGATTTACTAAAAAATACACACGCTTAAGACTTCAACATCATCATCAATGCTTACCGTGTGTGAAGCAGAGCGTTATCGCTAGCAATAAGTAACGCGACGTAAAGGATATTGCGGATAGACGAGTGAAGATGGTGGTTTCCACTTGTTGCGTTCGCGCTTTTTTTGCACCTGTCCTTATGCTTTGCTCCTGTGACGCGCTGCTACTACTGCTACGTTGGTGTGTTGAACTTTTTTGCACTTTTGTCACAATCTTCCTCATAACTTTCCTCGTTGCTGTGGTGGTTGACAATGACGTTTTCACCTCTGCTGACGCAGCACATTGCAGCGACCTAGCGCTGTCACTAACAGTATGCATTTCAGTTTTAATATTTGTTGTTATCGTTGTTAATTTTTGTTTTTAATTTTACGCTTACTACGGTTATAGGAATAGTGGTTGTTGTAGTGCATACATATGTATTTTTTGCTATATTCTTTACTATTTTTTACTATTTGCTATGTAAGCGTTATTTATTATTTAACTACGTATTTGTTTTATTTATGTATTTTACGTTTTGTTTTAATTTGTATTCCAATGCGATGAGTAAATGAGCAAATTAGCTTACGAAGTCATATCGACAATAACAGTGTTATACTCACTACTAGGTACAAGTAAAACACATAATTCTTTTTTGTTTCTTTACGCTGAAATTATATGGTAAATATATTTCGTTTGAATGCAAAATTCACTTAAACAAATTTCGAATTTTTATAAAAAAAATTTTATTAGAAAATTCAATATTTATTTATTATATTTTTTAACTAATTAAGTATGTGCGAATTATCTAAAATATGTACATATGCACATGCATATATAAGTATGTATTTATGTACATGTATGTATTTGCATTTAAAACCAGCTCAATGCAATGAGCCACTGTGAAACTGGTTTGTTATTGTTGTTGTGTTATAGTATATGTACATACATTTCTACGCACCACACCATTGTTGTTATTGCTATTGCTTTTTAACTTGGTCTTAAAACCTATTTCGCCTCGTAACACAACAACAAAAAGTATGCAGCGAATTCGTTAATAATGACTGACTGCCGGGCTTCTTGGTGATATTTTATTTTTCTTTTTTCTTTCGCTTGCCACTAATTCATCACACTTTCAGCAAATTTACATAATTTTCTTCTATTTTCTCACTTTTATTTTTAATTAAGAACATTTTTTTTTAACGTTAATAAAACACTTACATAAAACTCATTTATTTTCTTGGCTGCAAAAACTCATATTGAACATTTTCTTATTTCATTTATTGAATTTACACCTTTCCGTTTACGGCCATTTCATTCACACTGGCCTAAAGCACTATGCAGCCATTTCATACCGTCGTACGCTTGTGCTGCCCGCTGTCATTATACCAAAAACAACTCACTACACTACACTACACAACAGAATACAATGAAAAAGCCACCAACACGAACACACACACGCACACGTAAGCGCGCCACAATAACCGTAAATCCAATAGAGCACTTTTCCACAACGTCCGACAAGTCCGAGTATCAAAACGTAACTGATGTTACAGGTTGTCGGTCGCATTGCAGCTATCCAGCCACAAATACAATCGTACGTTCACGTTCTGCCACACGGAAATGAGATAACAATAAAGTTATATATTTTTGTTAACATCGAACGTTTGTTAGTAAGTTACTAGACAGCAGCAGTTAGTGTGTGACTAACAGTCTAACTTATCATCGGAGGGCTAACACAGACGACAGTAAATAGTTAGCCGTTTGAAGTTCATATTTGTGAAAGAAAAAACCGACTGGGAACGAGCGCTGTTGTGCGCTAAACGAGTGTGAATGAAACGAGAGCAGCACACAGGTAGGAAATACAACGGTAGTGAGTTGATGGACAGGTAAGGTATACACACAATTGGTAATGTTGCTTATTGTCTTGCTGTCAGTTAAAAAAGCAGGTAGTTGACGGTTGTTGTCTTTGCTATGCTAACGTTCATTGATCGATTGCGCGAGTTCACTGTAACGGCATGGCAAGTGGAACGGATGTACAGTGGTGGATGTTTAGAGTTAAATATAATTAGTTCGGCGCAAGTAGTTAGAGGGAAGCGTTCATAAATGAAGTGGTAATATTACAGTCCAGCTGGAACCTCTCTTATGTATTTAATATAAATATTTGGCGCTTAGTAAACGCTGAAGCGATTTTCGGGCGAACTCCTGCCTGGATGGACATACAATTTATACTAAGCGACCTCAACACGGAGGGGTTGAAATTTCCTGCTGAGGGGCGATCGCGGTTGATTGATATTGATGCGAATGCAATAACATATCGTTTCGCAGCCTACATTACTCTTAAGATGTAAAGCCGCTCTAGGATTTCGGAAAACGCAATTTTTTTTCCAAGGTGGCATTAGGTTATACAGAGGGTTTCGTTAATGTTAGCTTCAAACAAAGCGAGGTCATACTTTTCTTGCGATTATTATATTAAGCAGCTGAAGTTGTAGAGCCTTCCAATAGGTAGGAGAACATTTTGGATTGCAAATTTCTTTCTCTATCTCTCTTTATCTCTCCCCAGAGGAGATAATTTATGGTGTGTGTCAGTTTTAAGTAATCTTCGAGGATCTGTTGGGTTATTATGAAAGGGTTTCCATTTATTGTCAGAAATATTCTCCTAAATATTAACATTTTCTGCTGAGGAGCAACCGTATTCAGGCAAACAATTTTATATTTTGTCCTGTCTAGGACTTGAACTCAACACTCTTCAATTCGACGAATGCTCTGCTGGCCACTCGGCTACCGCAGCCGATATGCACAGATTACACGCTTTGTACCATGGCAACAAATGCACAATTCTTGCGCATATGAAGCCCATACATACATAAATTAATTAAAGACTTCCGGTTAACAATTCCAAAGTCATAAAGTAGATTTGTTTTAACATTATTCTGCACTAATCGCAATGTTTAATGTTCCTAAAAATGCATTAATATAGCGGTTTTTATATCTAACAAAAAAAAAGTTAGCTACTTGAAAATCGCACCATTCTTATCAACACCCTCGGTAACTTCCGCTAATATAAAAACGCCTGCAAAAAAGTTAACAGTTAGTAGAATGTTCAACTCTTCCGTAGCAATGTTATTTTTAAACACAATCGCGCTTTTGATACTTTCCGTTACACACCTAAAAGCGTTCGCTGCTGAAAATGAGGACGCTAAGAAATTTGTCGACCAGAACGTCCTCATAGACCTAACACGCTTTGGTGAACGCATATACGGTGAGCCCGATCAGGTAGCTGGCGCAAAGCTAGCCGACCTCAAAGGAGACACATTACAGAATCCAGACGAGTTGGGACCTTATCTGGAGGGCGATCTACTTATACCTAACGGCAAACAATTGCCTTTTCGCAACGGTCTTATAGCATATAGCGCACGCTGGCCTGGCGCCGTTGTGCCCTACGAAATAGATGGGCGCTTCAAAGAAAAAGAATTGGCCGTAATTAAAAAGGCTTTTAAAGAATATCACACTAAAACTTGCATTCGCTTCAAGCCTCGCAGCTCCGAGGACGATTATATAGTTATAACGAGTGACAACACCGGTTGCTGGTCGAGTTTGGGTCGCTTAGGTGGTCGCCAGGTTGTGAATTTACAAAGTACACTCTGCTTTCGTAATTACGGCACAACGATGCATGAATTGATGCACGCACTTGGCTTCATGCATGAGCAGAATCGATCGGAACGCGATAGTTATATACGTGTGTTGAGTCAAAATGTCAAGAATGGTGCGATGGTGAACTTTCAAAAGGGTTCAGCTCTAGAGCAATATGCTTTCGGTATACCCTATGATTATGCTAGCGTAATGCATTATTCCAAGACGAGTTTCTCCAAGAATGGCAAACCCACTATTGAAGCGTTGGTAAGTGCAAGCGATAAATAAAATATTATATTGTATTAAATTTTCCAATTGCGATCAACCCCTCCTCCTCACAAAAAACCATTAGCCGTTCGGAGGCGACTTAGTATAAACTCTTTGTTGGAAAAACAGCAAGACACAATACCACAAATTGAAGGTGGAGCACGGCCGAAAATCGCTTCAGCGGTTACAAAGCGCCAATTATATATATGTATGTAAGTGCAAGTGAAAAAATTTTATTTCTACGAAATTTGGTGATGTTACGCTTGATAAAATGAGAGCTCAAAAGATTTTCAAATTTCGAAAACATTACCAAGGATATGCTGCGGATTACATTGATGATGGAACACCACTTCATTCATATAACTACTGAGCCTGGCTTTACAATAATCTCTTTCAAAACATTTGCAAATATTATCCCTAAAGGCAATTTTGAATCTTCAGCCCATCAAGCAACACAAGATCGTAACGAATAGTCACTAGGCTTGAGTTCTTGGTTTTTTTTGGACTTTATAAGCAATCGTACCGAGTTCTTTAAGAAAAATCATGTGGTGTTGAGGTCGCTGTAGCTCTTGGAGCACACTTTAAGCCACAGCAGCGATATTTTTCACTGAGCTCGCTGAACAAACGGATCACCTTACTTGCAAACATACCTCTTCCCCACCAACATATAGCTTACTCCTGACTCTCTTGCTTTGTGCAAATGTATTTTGTAGTGTATTGGTGATTTGATGGATATGAAGTTTGGGACCAAGAACTCGTCAAAAAAGCGTCTAAGAGCGTGAATTCAACATAAATATATTCTCAAATAGATACTGACGTCGAAAAGTCATTGAAATCGTATATCCCCGATCTTGTAACCGATTACTGAGGTATGCGATTTAAGGTTGATATCTTCAAAAAAAAAAAAAGAGCTTTTTGTTTATTTCTCCGAGTTTAGCAAAGGAGACTGAGACCAAAAAACAAGGCCTTAGAAAACCTTCAGTATCGACTCAAAGTCCAAGCTTGCATACCACATACTAGCGCGTGCTTGATGATCGAAGAGAAGAGTTTGGTCTGTTTACATCTAGAGAGAAGTTTACATATAAATCATCAGTTCAAGGAAGCACATTTTGGCAAGTGGGATTTCCCGCTGAATTATTAACGTTTTTAATGCGGGGTCCTAGTTTGCGGGAACCGTTTCCAATCTCCTAGTTTTCACTGGGTATAAGGTCCAACACTAAATTGGAGAAAATCTATATCTTGAGGGTGTGGATTTTATCGAGCAAACAGTGAATGTGGGGGTGGATTCACTCTTCACATATTTCTCTCTCAACCTCTCTCTCTCTCTCTCTCTCTCTCTCTCTCTCTCTCTCTCTCTATTTAGACAAAGCAAATTATATTTTGACCCGTTTAGAACTTGAACATATCGCCATTTAACTCGACGAATTCTCTACTGGCCACTTGGCTACTGCAGCCGACATACTAACACAAATTACTCGCTGATGCACAATTCTTACGAATGTGATTAATTCAAGACTTCCGGTTAACAGTTCCAAAATCATAAAGTTTCACGAATCACGATGTTTAATGCTCCTAAAAATGCATTAATATGAAGCGCTTTTTATAACAAAAAAAAAAAAGTTAGCTACTTGAAATTCGCACCATTCTTATCAACACCCTCGGTATCTGCCGCAAATATAAAAGCGCCCCCCAAAGAGTAAATAGTTAGTAGAATATTCAATTCTTCCGTAGTAATGTTATTTTTTAACTCAATCGCGCTTTTGATACTTTCCGTTGCGCTCCTAAAGGCATCCACGGCTGAGGATGCTGATGCTAAGAAGAAGTTAAGATCCCATCTGAAGCGCGATCGGCTTATAGCTAACGGCAAGCAATTGCGTTTTCGCTACGGTCTTATAGGTCGCTGGGCTGACGCTATTGTGCCCTATGAAATAGAAGGGAGCTTCAGTAAAAAAGAATTGACAGCAATTAATAATGCTTTCAAAGAATATCACACTAAAACTTGTATTCGCTTCAAGTCTCGCAGCTCTGAGCGCGACTATATAGTTATAACGCGTGACAACACCGGTTGTTGGTCGAGTTTGGGTCGCTTAGGTGGTCGGCAGGTTGTGAATTTACAGAGTACACTCTGCTTTCGTTATTATGGCACACCGATGCATGAATTGATGCACGCACTCGGCTTTCTGCATGAACAAAATCGACCGGAACGCGATAGTTATATACGTGTGTTGAGTCAAAATGTCAAGAATGGTACGATGGTGAACTTTCAAAAGGGTTCAGCTCTAGAACATTGTGCTTTCGGTATACCTTATGACTATGCCAGCATAATGCATTATGCCAAGACGAGTTTCTCGAAGAATGGCAAACCCACTATTGAAGCGTTGGTAAGTGCAAGTGAAAAAAAATATTTCAATTTAAATTTTTTACGTTTCCCTTGATGAAATGAGAGCTCAAAGGTTTTTCAAATTCGGCTTGGGAGTTTAAAAAGCTCTTTACAAAGCAATCACGGATTGCTTGGATTTCCATAAATTTGCAGTTGATAAGGGAACATCACTTCATATAAGTATCTACCGAGCCTAACCATGAAGTAGCCCTTTCTGTTCTGTTTGTCGACTCAATCTTTCAACATATTTTCGAAATGTGGCTCGCTATGGCTGCCATGGCCATTTCAATATCGTGACTTAAGTTATCCTTAACAGCTTCCAATTAGTCCAACGGAGTAGAATTGCAGCAGCGCGTCGGCCAGCTTACATCATAGTTTTGAGTAGTTATGCGATTTTTGACATTGATGGTAATGGCAGCTTCTTTCTCGTTTTCACAGTTAAACGGACCAATGACGCGGCCAGTTTACATGAATTAAGAATGTACTGGCCTCGGTGAATATTCTCAACATTTCCCAAGTAATCTTCAACTCGATAGAACAACTTAAAACAGCGTCGTATGGTGATGAGGTTTCAATTCTTGGATCAATAAGCTGTCGCAAAAGCTCTCATAGAAAACCATCAGCCGTTCGGGGGTAGCTTAGTGTAAGCTGTATGTCCTTTCATTTATTGGAAAAACATCTAGAAATCTGTCAAATCGACGTGTTGTCCCTTATTTACTTGGTGCGCGGTCCGGACTACAAGGTCATTGCATAAAAACCTCCCAATCAAGCAACCATAGCTTCTGTCGAGTGACTATCGATTTGTATGGTCTAGCGTTGTCCTGATGAAATACAATTCCCCTCCTGTGGGCCAAATCTGGGCACTACTGGATGACTGCTCCCTTCAGAGGGTGCAATTGATAAAAGTACAGTGTCCGCATTAATGATTTCCTGCAAGTCTCACTAAACCCACGGGTACTGGTAGTCAACGCTGGCTTAACGACTAGTTGTGCTTATCGGCTTACTGCTTTATGCCTACGATCGTTTTCATTTGACGTTGCTGTAAGTGATTCACTTTTCATCACCAGCCATCATACGCTTCCGAAATGGAACCTAATTGGCGCCGATTCGCAGATAAAAATACGGTTGATAAGGTTTTTTCTCGTGGCAGCTAAACATCGAGCTTCTTTGTGTACACAGAATTTTTCAAAGCAAAGCTCTCATGACGCTCAGACTCGACGATTTTCATAATTTAAAGACATTTACGACTTTTGGCCTGTTGGTCAAGTGTTTTGAGACTGGTCCAAAATTGACAAGTAGTGGTCGTTTCAAAGTCGTTCGTGGTTTTCATTGTTTTTTTTTTATTTTTGTTAATTAATTAATTAATTATTTGCATTAATTTTTTTATTTAAATTTTTATTTTTTTTGGTTAATTATTGTGTTGTCAAAGTAGAATATTTTTTTTTTATTAAGTAAAGTCAAGGTGACTAAACTTCCAGAACGAAATCGTGCATGTTTGGCTGGATCAGGACTATAAACACTAAAAGGTGAATTTGTTTGTACATCGATTTCGTCGCCTTCACGTCACGTTCTAGTATGGTCTTCAGAGAGTGCGTCGTTTCACGTTTAATCTTCTCAGTCGACTCAAAATGGTGTCCTCGAAGTGGTCTCTTGAGTTTTTGGAAGAGCCAGAAGTCACATGTTGCTAAGTCCAGCGAATGTGGTGGTTGGGGAACGATATTCGTGGAATTTTTAGGCGCAATGGTCACGAAGAATGAGTGCTATGTGCGACGGTGGATCATCGTGATGTAAAAAAATTTTTGACCCATAATTCTGGTCTGGTTTTGGGAATTGCTTAACGCAAACGACGCATAACGCTTAAATAATAGTCCTTATTTACCGTTTGAACTGGCGGAAGGAATCTATTTTGCACCACACCACGAAAATCGATGAAAACAGTTAACATGACCTTGATTTTTGAACGACTTTGACGTGATTTTTTCGTCTTGTCTCACCTTTAGCACGATATTCTTTGAAGTATTTATATATATATATATATTTGTACCACTTAAACACGTTCTTCTGCGACATAGTTGAGTCCCCAAAGGCTTTCGGTAGCATCCTCAACATTTCGGCCGAGTGCGTCCTCCAATTTGTGGTTTTGCAACTTGTTCTTTCCCACAAGTGGAGGGACCTACAGTTTATACTAAGCCGGCCCCGAACGGCTGTTGGTTTTTTTTATGAGGAGCTTTTATTACATGTCAGAACTACACTTGGAGGGGTTGACATTCCCTGCCGAGGGGCGACAGCGATTAGAAAAATGAGCATAATTTTTTATTTAAATTAATTTTCTATAACTTTTTTCGTTTGAAACCTAACCACCAAAATACTCCCGTACTGGTTTCGAGATAATTAAAAGAAAAAATTCTAAATATTTATTTACAGAAACAAACAAATGAGGCGCGTTTGATGGGTCAACGTAACGGTTTTTCCAAAGGTGACATAGCGAAATTGAATGCAATGTACAAATGCAGAAAATAAAAGATTTTATAAGTTGAAGACTCAGTGCTCCATTTTTTCATTTTATTAAAATATGTTTTTCTTTTCACATTTCTAGAACTACAATCAATAAAGTGAAATAAACAGGTGTATGTAACTATGTATAAGTACAGTTGTTTTTGTATTTTAAAAATAACTCCTTTTATGTTATTATTTTTATCAATTAAATTAAATAACTTGTTTGCTTTACATTTTTGTCTTCTTCGTTGTTTCGGTTTTCGCGCCGCCTAATGCTGCGTCCGATTGTGATGCTTGCCGAAGAAGGCATTCTCCTTGTTGGTGAGTTCGTTGCACAGCGATGAATAACGGCGTATGGCCATGAATGAATCGGGATCTTTTTCGAACAATTATGGCAAGCGAGAAATTGAAGTGTTATTACGTTGTTTGTATGTATTTTTATAAAATATATTAATATTAAAAACACTATTCTGTGTGTACATACATCTGCATATGCATATAATCATGTACACATGGGTGTGTTTGTGAATTACATATTTATAAATTAACATATATGCACATATGTATGTATGTAATTTATACTTTCAAACTTGTTGCACATGCAAGCCTATTAGTTTTTGATAAATGGAATGTTTAGTAATAACACAAAAAACAACACTTTTCATATTGAATATAAACATTGAAGCTTAACTACATATAAATAATTTATATTCCCTTTTATAAAAATACCACGAGCGCAATGAGTGTCTACTCAATGGTTTAGGTGCAGTCGTTTGCGCCCAGATCCCGAACTTAGCCTCTCAACCAAAAAAATCTCAGCTCAGGTCTTTTGAAGATTTTATTTCATTTTTTCTTCAAATCGTTTTTGCCATGTCTTTCTGTTCCTTGGGTCACAAGTACAGACGCCATTGCAAATAGGTTAATTTTGACAACCCTCCTAACCCTGATTTTATAACGGTAATTTTGAAAAGGTATAAAAATCACGATAATTCAGTAAAGAAATGTGTCAGGGCGATCGCATTCAATTGAGTAATCTGAGTGGCATCATCCACTTTTGTGTGAAACTTATACTTGTAACTCCCAGAGTGCAATCGGGTAACAACAACTACGCTTTCAAACCCCTGCGGGTTAGGGGCTCTAGAATTTACCCGCGGTAAGGCATGTCTGTTGTAAGAGGCGACTAAAATCCAATAGTTCCCGCGACAGTCGGGTCTTTATACCGGAACGACCCGGATTTTTATCCGGCCAAGGACTGTCACTCCCGCAACATTCCCCAAAAAGTACTTTGGGGAATAATTTTGCGGTTACAACAACAACAACCTACGCTTTCGTTTCATATAATGGACCTTTTACTCAAGATCGAATTTTCATTTCAACAGAAGAGAGCCAAACTTGGTAGGTGAGCGTATTTTAATGAGGACCTAAAGTTCTGTTACAGGTCCAGAAATATACACACCTCTCATATACTATATAAAGTTGGTTAGTTTGCTGTTGGGGTTTTTTAGAAAGAAGTTCCGCTCATCTCTCTGGATGCATGGCAACCGAAATAAATCTAGCAAGTCCTGCTCGTATATGCCGCAGCAACTGCAACAGAAGACACTAGAGTTATGTTCATAAAGGTCCTGTTTAGAGGAAGTAAATGGTTTGATCTCTTCTCTTCGATAAAGAGCCAGAACTGTTTGGTTATAATGTGTATGCCTTTATCCGGCCATGTGCTATTGGCCTTACTGGTCGAAGATGAATTTAAATGGAATTAACCGTGCTTAGGACTATTCCGCCTCGAATAAACCCTTTATTTTTAACTGATCTGTGGTCTTATCACAAAATGATCAGCCGTGTATCAAGTGTTCATTTTAACACGAACGAATTGGTTTCTCTAACTCCTTGCTTTTAAATTGAAACTATATCCATCTGAGACGATCAGAAAATCAAAGATAATTTTCTGTACAGATGCCAGACCAATGATGCAGCTTAACAATAATGTCCTCCACTCAACATAGCCGAAGAATGTTTTATATGACCCTCTGCGCGTTAGGGATTCAAGAATTTACCCGTGGTAAGTCATGACTTTCACAAGGGGCGACTCAACCCCAATAGTTCCCGCCACAGTCGGATCTTTATACCGAAACGACCCGGATATTTTTGCGGTTACAACAACAACAACAATAACAACAACTTAACAATAAAGTCATTCACTTCCAGTCCTCGACGTAACCAACCAACTTATCTAACACTTGCCTCCAAGTGGTAGGAATTTATTAAAATACGAGTTGGTCATTTCCTTGCTACGGCTAGATGAGTTCATTGATGTGAGCTAGTGTTACCGGCGCCCAAAATGGGGTGTAGCGGATTGTCAAAAAAAAAAAAAAAAAAAATACAACTAAAAAGACATATTCATTTTCTTCCTATCAATCTCATAGATCGAAGTGAAGTTTTTCCTTGTATTTTTCTTCGTCAATTCAGTATTTTGTTGCATCTTATTGATTATGATTATTAAAAATTTATTTACAATAATTCAAATAACATAAAAAGGCGAATGGAAGTCGCCGCGCCAGTCGGCCAAAGACTGTCACTCCCGCAATATTTCTCGAAAATAAATTTACGAAATATATTTCTTATTATATAGAAAATTATTAAAAAAAAAAATATATATTTTCTTAGAAATTTTTAGAAACAAGGAAAGAGTCGCGTGTTATGTTCTATAAGACTCTTAGCAAGATTGCTTTATACGTCACAGGCAAACACGTCATTTACAAGACGTCAAAGGTAAAAAGTGCTTGTCTGCCTGGCTGGGCTTTCTTTGACTAATTGTTTTTTTTTTTTTTTTTATAAAATTATGAGATTTTAAAAGTTTGCTAAAAATTGTAAGTTAATTTATTTGGTTAAAATGTCATAAACATAAATTCTTTGAAGTAATTAATTAATTTTTAGTTCAGATAAAAATTAAAAGGATTTAACTTGAATGGCTGACGGATCAACCCACAGCCTACACCACAATTCGTAGCGACCTGAAACTTACAGGCTGAGCTTTGCATATGGCGTGAGCACCTGACATGAAAGGATTCTGCTGGAACTGTTACCGAACTATACGTAAAAAAAAATTTAACTTACTCATAAATAGTTGTATTTACATGGCATTTGGTATACACGTAACTCTAAAGAAGAATTGATATGGGAACCACTTTCTCCTACGGCAAGTGGACGTTAGACCGATACGTTTGAAAACTTGTATTTATACTTGATTAATATAAATTTGGTATAGAAGTAACTTCCGGCCTGAAAAAACATTGGTAGTTACGGTATCAATTTCTTAGCAACACTGGAAGCTCTATGACAAATCAGCCAAGGCATTATTATTGAACAACGCTTTCAAGTTTCGAAGCAAGGTTTTTTTTTAAAGCTACCTAGTGGTCCGGGCAAGACATTTATATTCAACTTTTTGTTGGCCAAAATGAGAAGCAAACATTGTATCGCCTTAACTGTGGCAGCGTCGGAATAACTGCGCGAAATAACTTATTTATGGGGACCTTCTCTTAACGCGTCTGCGTGTAAGTGTTAGGATTAAATTAATTTAAATTAACACATATTGTCTTCAAAAAGTGCTTAAATGGTGAGTTCGTATTAATTTTAATAATACTTATTTTAGTAAGCAAAAAATATATAAAATTAACATGATTATTTTTTTTTTAGTAATTTATATAATTAATTAATACATATGTACCTATGTACATACTAAATGTGTATTAGCGAAAAATAAATACATATATATATTATTTTAACAAACTAGTTCAACTAAAAATTAACAGTGCAACAATAAACTGTAAGCATAGTGCAATGGTTAGTAGACAATATAAAGAATTCAAGCAAAATTGTTATCACATTTATCTCTCTTAATATCCATTTTAGTATTTCACGCCGTATTAATGCGGTCTTATATACGCCACAGCTTTATTGATTTTCATATATTTTTGGTTAGTACATTCAATTGGTTGTGGTGCTGGTGTTGGTGGTGGTGGTAGTGGTGGTGGTATTATGCGCACTAAGCAATTAGAAGTCAGCCTACCTACGCCACCAATGGCAGCAGTAGTACTACCTCTAAATCCAATGCCATTCGTATTATCATGATTAATATTTGTCGTGGAACCATAACGCGAACGATTATTGAGGAAATCACGTATATGCTGTACGATCAGATCAATAGCCACTAGAAAAGAAATATAAAGAAAGGTATGACATTATGATCACTCGTATAGCAAAATATATTAAATGTTGTAGATTAATATGATATTGTGTATACTTCATTTGATTAGTAGTAAAAAACACACTTTAGAATTTTGTAAAAAGAAAGCAAAAAAAAAAGCAACAGAAAAATTTCGAAATAACTGTAAAAACATAAATCTGTATTAGTAAACTCAAAACTTACCTGATTACAGTTATCATGGTAGATTTACACTAAATGGAGTAGAATCGGAGGAGTCGTTTAAGGGTGAAAACTATTTGTACAAAAATTCATTTGCTTAAATAATTAACATTTTTTGTTACTTATTGGTAGAAATGAAGGTTTTTTTTTTGCTTTAATGAAAAATCTAACTGTTTATGATAGATTTATTTAGATACATTAAAATAATCATGTAGGATATTTAGCGTTGGTAGAGATTTTAAGTTATTTTTCTTAATTTAAAAACGTTTTTAAGATTACACTTATAGGCTTTAGCAATTAAAATTAAAAAAAAAAAATAAAAATTAAAAAAAATAAAATTAAAAAAAAAAAAAAATTAAAAAAAAAAAATAAAAATTAAAAAAAATAAAAATTAAAAAAAAAAATAAAAATTAAAAAAAAAAAAATAAAAATTAAAAAAAAAATAAAAATTAAAAAAAAATTTTGTCAAAAAAAAAATTTATCGAAAAACCAAAAAAAAATTTCTTAATAACCGTACTAACTATCCGGGCGCAAGTCGCGGGGCGCGTTCTCAGCATACGAATTGTTGTTCATACCTTTCAACTAGACACAATTTACTTTGTTACTTACGATTCCTGCAGAAATATACATACATACGTATGCATGTACAAACATATTTACCCATAAAATTACATACAAAAGAAAAGTTCTATTGCATTTTGAAACTACGTAAATACTTTATTTAAGCCGGGCTAAAATTTGAATGTGTAGTTTAAAGCTACTTATTGTAAATTGGTTTTTGACTTTTTATGATGATTAGCAATACATTGTTACTAAATAGAATAGGCTTTTGTCACAAATAATATTAATATGTATGTATGTATGTAGAAGACAGGTATTACTTTTCTATATCCTCTGGATATGTGTATTAATAATATTGGACAATTTTCTTAATGCATGTGTGGGTGTATATGTTTTAATGATTTGCGTCGAAAAAATTATTGTTTTTTTTTTTGTTTGCCGCTTTCTAAAATCCAATAGGGAGAGGTGCAGTGTTAAAGTTAAAGTGAAATTCCTTGGATGAGTACAGAAGTGATTGCCCTGCATGTACGGGCATAATGATTATTTCGAACGTTAATAGATTAGGAAGTAAAAAAAAAATACAGAGAAGCTTTCAATACAAGTGTTCTCTTTTTAACTTGGGTTAATAAGTATTGATTAGCAAATATATTTATTAGACATATGGACACAATTAGTATATATGTATGTTTCAGGTAGAGAATTATATTACTAGAAAACATATTAACACACCCGTCATTTTGATAATCACACGAAAAAAGCTCGATGTAGAAAATATTAAAGTTGCAAATGCTTGAAAGATTTGAGAACTTGAAAGATTTGAGAAGTTTAGTAAGTTGTAAGTTCGAAATCTTTAAACAGAATTTTCAGCTTAAATAATTTATGTTATATTTATTTGTTATTTATTGGCTAAACTATATATTAGCGTTTTTGCTTTTAATTCGATATTTTCTTAATTCGAAATACTAAATATTGTTAGAAAATAGCAAAAGAGTTAATAAGTTAGTGGTATGTCAAAATATTTTATAAGAAACTAGTGCAGCGTCTGATTTAATTTAACAATTTCTGATGGACTGCGAAGCAATTTTACTAAAATCTACTAAGCCGCGTTTATTTATTTATATTTAATAAATAAATTACGCTTATAATTTATTTTTGTATTATTGCATAAAATATATTAATGTTTTAAACTCTTCAGCTTTATTAATTTAAATTTTTTTAACGCAAATTTACCGAATAGTAATACAAATTTCCCTTTACGAGCTAAGAAAACGCTAATAAACATTTGCCATACACTATTGTTAGACTTAAACTACAAAAAAAAAAAAAAAAAAAAAATATAGCATAATTGATATTTTTATTTTTATTATTATTATTTTTTTTTTTTTGCCATCGTCTATTTTTTCTTTGTGCGACATTTGTTGTTTTTATTTTTGGTGTTAATATTGCGCACCACAAAATTTAGATATCTACAAAGACAAGTTAAGCACTTGTGCGTGCATGTGTTATATATGTATGTATATGTATAAATATATTTATACACCCAATTAATACGGTAATCATTTTTGTTTGCCTAAGTTAAAGAAATTTTATTAATTTTTTTGGTGTTTGCCTAATTATTTGTTTATTTAATGCTAATGTTCGCGCACCATGCCGCCAGCTGTACTATTTATTGCTGTGTGTATTGAAGAAGAGGCATTTAGGTTGTTAGTGCTGCCGCCGGGTCTAAGAATTTCTCCGATATGATGTACAATGAGATCAATGGCAACTGTAAGAAATATAACAAGTAACAAAAAAACGGAACTGGAAATCAAGCACTAAAAATGTTTTTTTGGTTTATTTAATTTTATTTATTTTTTTTTTTCTTTATAACAAACACATATTGCTTAGTCGGAATTAGGTTTATCAAGAAAACAAGAAAGAAACAAAAAAAAAAAAACCCAAACAACTGCAAACAACAACTTGTAAATAAATAAACTGATTTAGTGTTTGTATTTTTTTATGTTTGTATAAACTATCTGTGCCAGTGTGTTTGTTATTATTATTTTTTTTAATATTTTCAATAGATTAAACTAACCTTTAAACGAACTACAAGAAATTAGCAAGAACTACGAAAATTTCAGTATTTATATAAATTAACTTGGTAGGAACGGAAGAAGCTTAACTAAATGCTACAAATGTATAATATATAAATAGTATAGCTGTTATCAACTGTTAAGTGCTTGACGAAAGTAACGAAATTATATAAATGAATAAAACAACACAACTACACAAAATAAACCTTTACGAACCTGTGTTATCAGCGCCGCGCGGAATAATTACATCTGCGAATTTTTTTGTCTATATAAGCGAAAAATAAGATAACAAGTTTAAATAGAAAATTATACATTTATTTTTGCATGTCAATTACCGGTGAACAAAATTCTTCAAAAGCAGGCTTTACAAATGTCATGTACTGTGTTAGCACAGCATCCAAATCACGTCCACGTTCATTGATGTCACGCGGCACTGAATTTGTTGAAAATATTTATGGGATTTTAGTTAAATATATGTTTAAAGAAATTTTACCAAATACTCACCTCTTCGCGCCAATCGCGTATCTGAATCTGTATCCACAAAGAGTTTCATATGAAAGAGATCGCGTATTTTAGGGAAATAAAATACTAATATACCCTCAAATAATACCACATCAGCGGGGTAAATGGTCAGCTTATTCTCATGATCGCTGTAATTAGTAGATATATATATATATAATGAACTGTTTAAATATATATTAAGGTTCTTTGAAACTATATAGACTTGGGGTAAATTAAGGAAATAACTAGCTGTATATAAATATATTTGCAGTATATGACTACTAAATCAATAAAATTTGTTTTCAAATCTTTCAATAACTTTACACATTCATATGTATGTAAGTTTTCTATAGAACATATATAGCTATGATAACAAATACATTCTACGAAAGGAAGCGAAAGTACACATTTTCAAATTTCCTTGGAAGCTTATTGTATATAACCTTGGCATGAGTTTATTCACAAAATAAATGTCTAATAAAGTTTAAAAAATAGAATAAAAGGTAACTTACAGTGAATTTGAACGATAATCGTAACATGGTACTTTGACAATTCTGCCTTTTAGAACTTCTTGTAAAGTATCATACATAAGATTTTCATTAAACGCATCCGGATGATCGAAATTGAACAGTCCTTTTTGTGCTTTAGCCTTTTCAGCAGTAGTTAACTCGCGATAGAAGCTATCTTGGCCGATAGTGACGACCTGATATAAAAAAAAACACACACACACATATTTTACTTCTAGTTTTTCATATTTTACTTCTTAGTTTTTCCACTTTACCTGCCGTTGCGCTTGATCCATATCCGCCTGCCCTAGTTGCTCCATGATTTTTTTACATACTGTTGACTTAAAGTGATATAATAGTTTTAAATTAATTCATAAATATGTATGTATTTATTTGAAGCCTAAATATGTTAGTGCCAACCATTGTTATTGGATATGTTATATTTAATACATTAATTGTTATCAAACTTAGCATTGATTCAGTTTTAAGGAGATTAAATATCACCATAAAACGTTTAACAAGCGTAATAACACTCAACAAAGTAAAATCAGACGAATATATTATACTTTAGTTCTATTTGCAGTGGCGCTCCATTGGCATACTCACTTTCCCACTTGCTGTTCCTCCCGCCACACCAATCAGAAATGGGGTTTTTATATCTGTTTTGTGTTCACAATTTGGCAGAAGTAATGTATTGTCCACATCCATTATCACTGCCTTAATATTAATTATATATATGTATCCTTTATATTTCTGTTTTCAACCACACTTAATTTTACTTAAATAATCACAACTAGGAATTTTTTTTACAGAAACAACCGCATTGTGTAAAATATTCAATCAGCTGTTACGTAGAGAGTTGCCCATTTGATAAAAACCATTTCAACTAAAGGTAATATCCCAATTTCAACTGGCGTTACTTGACAACTTTGAAAACTGCAACGACCAAATGGAGTATGGAAATGTTGTGGTAATAAACAAACTCATACTGGCAAACACTTGATCAAACTGTCAATAAGATAACTACCCAACCAGCGTTTCCGATGTCTTTTAATTCGATTTGATTCGATTAACTATGTCGATGTCGGCGCATCGCCTTTGCTATCGCTTACAGCATACGAAAATTTTTAGAGGTATACGAAAGAGCGAATAGAAAATGCTTTGTGAACTCCGTAGTGACAGTTTTGTTGGCCGATAACTCTGACATGTTTTAGCGCACTTGTATTGAGTGTTCGTTATCAAGAACATAAATTTACGCTTGCACTTGGTAGAAAACAAGATGAGTGTTATGAGAAGTTAGTGAACAGAGTGTGTACAATAAAGCAACTCTGCAAGAAATCTTGGAAGTTTTATTCAATAATCCTGTGGTGAAACTCGAAATTAAGGTTGAATTTACGAAAACGTGTCTCCCTGGCAACAATCAAAGCTGAAAGTAGACGGTCTTACCATGATACCACTTATTTAAGACACATTTTAAATGGTACAGGAAAGCGGAAGTATTTACTGAAATTACTAATTTAATATATTATACCTTAGTGCAAACTAACAAATATCAATTAGAAATGTTATAAAACATTTAAAAATTTTATACGTTTAAACAGTACAATTTCTTTAGCACATATATCACCCTGTACTTACAGCAGCAAATAACTGCCATAACTGTTCTCTGTTAGTTTCCGTTTTTATAAATGGCGAATGAGCAAGTTCCGGGAAAGTGTAGAATGTAGTTAATGTATTTAATAATAATACCAAAGGAAATATGTATAAGTAATACTTTTTCTACATTTTTATTTAAATGTGTCGTGTAGTGCGTCGAAAGGGCAGTGTTGGCTTGGAATTTGTTGGTGAATTGACTATGAATATCATTTCAACTGATAAAGCATAAGGACGAGTTTATAGCATATGCGTATATGTTATTCGCTATTAGCTCTGTTCGGTGAGATATGTAAGTAACAATAAACAAGAATGAAATGTCAAAATGGTGCTCTTTCAGTGCAAATTTTTCCGAATTTTCGTAAAGTATAATTAAGTAACAAATGTTACAACCGAAAAGGACTATTATTATATATTTACTTAATTAGTCTATGAGGTTTAGTTTTGGACAACCAGGTCTACTTTGGCACAGTTATGCCCCTCATATTCTTATTTTTTACTTAAAAAAAATTGTTGAATTCGTAGGCGGGACAAATCTGAGTAACTGATTTTCATGAACTTATTCATTTTATCATATTCATTGGTACCCTATGAACAAAACAATAAAAGAAATATCGCAAGTTAGTTTTTTGTTGTCTTTTTGTTGTATTTATTTATTTATTTCTTTTTAGAGAAACTTTAGTATTTGTGTTAAAACGTTTTGTGATAATTTTTTTTTAATAATTTTCATAATATTTCGTACATATTAATAAAAAAATCAACAATTGTAAAATCATGTTAATAAAACTAAATCTTTTAATAGAAAAATATCAACATAAAAATCTCTATTTTACATACAAAACAATCTCAATGGGTTAGCTTAGTCTCCTATATAATATATAAAAAAATATGAAAATAGTTTCAAATACAGTCAACGCCGTTTAATAGGGACGTAAAAGTAATGCATTAAATCAGATCATAATGTTATTAAAATAAGTATTGTTAGCTCCGACTGCCACGCAATTATTCAGTTCAGTTAAGTTAAATGCAATTTTTTGTTTATTAATTAAAAAAAGCAATTATTACTGAATAAAATTATGAAAGAATTATAATATACTAGTGATGGCCACGTGAAAATTTGTGATATAGTCATACATACATACACATGTATTTACGAGTATGTAAATAGGCTTTACAGTGATAAATCAACTAAAGTGAATTTAAACTAAAAAGATGAAAACGTAAGGTGTCGTGTTATGTTAGAAATAGATCTAACGAAGATTGCTCTGGATATTCATGTAGAAAATCGCTAAACGGATTAAATGCGTCCAAAGCTACTAGGGGACTTATGCAGGTGGTTGGCGGTTGCTCCATAGAAAAGTCCAGAGATTCGGGTGTTGTGCCAAGGAATTGTAAACTTAGCTCCAGCGGCGCGTCGATATCACTTAAAATATTATGTTCCACTGATGATCGTGCATCCAAAGCACTGTTGCCGAATAGTCTATCGTATTTTTCTTGCATTGGACTGTGACAGGGATCAGAAAGATGTAGTGATTCGCCATCCGATTCCAATGTGAGATTATTGAGGTCCGACATTGCGGGTGTATATTTACTGGAATAACTTGGACTGGTTATACTATCCAGGAAACTTGATGAGTGTGATGATAATGAATCACCACTGCAGGTAACAAATGAAGAGGAAGTGGAGGAGCCAATGCTCGAATTCGACGAAAGACTGTTACGCGGCAGGTTGACGGGTGTGATTTTCGTGTCTTTTTTCTTTCGCTTTCCTAAAAGTTTTGGCGGCTTTTGAATCACAGCACTTTTGGTTTTTTGAGCAGTTCCCGATTTGCTAATTCGTTTGCTATTCTTCGTTGCTGCAGCAGCTGATTTTGTGTAAACTTTGCATGGTTGTGTGAGTACCGCTGATTCTTGTTTTATCATTGGTTCCGTATCATTCGCATTTAGAAAGTCTAGTGGTAGTTCACCTTTGTAATCCGGATTATTTAGCACCTCTGACAACATACCAATGTATTTCATAGCCAGGCGTAGTGTTGTTATTTTGGTAAGTTTCTCATTGACCGGCCCCGCTTCATCCACAGCTATGCTTTGGGGCACACAGTGCCGTAAGGTCTCAAATGCGGTATTGATTTCACGCATGCGTGTACGTTCACGTGCATTAGCGGTTTTCCGACGGTATTTGCTCAGTGGGGGCGCTTTCGATTTGGCCGGTGTGTTGTTTTGTGTGCGCTGCCGTCCTGCGGTCGTTTCGATTTCGTCTAAAAGAGAAGAGTTACGGGCATATAGTTAGATGCATTTGTGCATTTACATAGAGAAATAGCTTGAACTGCTTCAGTTTCTCATTAACAACATCTAGGGCAGATTGCGAATTTCAAAGCTTACCCCTGTGGTTTGAACGTTTCGGCAGGTCGACCACACTCGCCAATCCAAGTCGTCGCTTTTGGCGTTCTCGCAATGCATACTTATCTTTGCGGCTACCAATTTTACTGCTTTTACATTCATCCATTGTGCGTTGGCTGCTGGCTAATAATGGTGTGCAATCATGCATTATTCTAGAGTAGAGCAGGAGTATTGTGCGCTATGTGGCAGCAACTGAAATTGAAAGGAAACAGAAATGATTATTGCAGCAAATTTAAAAACTCTCATATGCTAGTGCTTAAAATTAATGCTAATTTTGAAAGCGTTGGAGCCTTAATGTTATATCATTTCTTGCTTGTGGAAAACAACTGAACTAAGAAGTTATCTTTCGGTGTACCCGTCATTTCTTTGGAGTCACCAAGTAAAGCCAGCTTCATCATTCCATCATCCTTCTGATTAGCACATCGAGTTCTTTCGAAACTAGAGTACTTTCAACCCTCCCCACAACATGACTTAGACAACGTAGTCGCTGTTCTTTTATTTGCTGAGTTTTGTCAATGCCACTGTATATCTCATAAAGCTCGTCATAGCATCGTCTTTGACATTAGCTGATATTGGTACGCAAACATCCATAGGACTTTCTATAGAAAAGTCCTAGTGGCAACTCATAAGATTTGGCCAGATTCATCTTCATCTTCAGAAGCCTTTATTTTCCAATTATTTTTTCAGTTCAAAGTTGCACTTGTTGATGCTCTATGAAGTGACAGCCAAGACGCGAATGAGAGTTGCGTTCTGCTTTCATTTTGTCACAATCTTGTCACCCATACATTCCGCGTCCTTAGCCAGCCTAAGTAACAAAACTAACAGCGCGATTTTTGTGACCAAGGATGTCAGTATTACAGTGGTAGAGTCACATTCGGAAGATCCAATAAAATAGCTAAATAAAACCTCATAAACGAGATTGAGCAGACTCACCCCTCGCAACATGGCGCATACTGTGAGACTGTGGGTTCTCTTTTCTGGTACAATCAGTAGAGTTTACGAACATCAGTAAAGCACTCTTCCAACCAAATTTGGCGAGAAAGCTTGTGCATGGTCTTGGTCAGTTGTTCGCCACCACATTTGAACAGCTCAGCCAGTACGTCGTTGACAATTACTATTCGGACTTCATCGTAGTCGAATTATGAAACGTTTATGCCATACTTATCGATTGCGAAATCGGCTTTACCATCTACCGGTATTGCCTCCACGAGCTCGGTATACTCTTAACAACGGTCGTGAGTTCTCAAAGAACTTTTGAGCATTATACTCGTCGACAGCCGCTGTTTTTTGATTCCCTCAACTCTGAAAATTTCTTCATATATCTCATACAGTTCCTTATTCCAGCGGCTGCGGTATTTGTCGTTTCCAAGTCGTAGAGAACTAAAAACGAATGGAACGATGAGTGACTTGTAGAGTTTGGTCTTTGTTCGTCGGTCTCCTACTCAGTCCGAAGTAGCACCTTATGGCAAAAGTGATTCTGAGTTCGATTTCCAGACTGATAATATTGTTGGTGTTAATACTGGTTCCAAAATAGACGAAGTTATCTACGACTTCAAATTTATGAATGTCAACAGTGACGTGGGAGTGTTTGTACGTCAAGAATACTGGATAAATGCCTTTCATCTGATCGATTTGGTAGCTCGATTTTCGACAGACAACCATATTTCGCTTTGTCTGATTAAATTACCAGGAAATCTCAACATGAAAAATGCTCAAGCATTTTTATCTTTTCTAAAACTTGCTATTTCCACGATCCATCTCTAAATTTAGTAGACCTCTAGACGACATCCATACTGTTCCTAGTTCTTGTAATTGTGCTCAGTGTTCCCAATGTTGCAATGATTCCATACTAAAAAACCTTAAATTCTTAAATAGTCTGATTTATAACTAATAAAATTTGTCAAAAAAGCAAGGTTGTCATACATAGCAAAGTTGCTTGGATTAAATTCAATTTACGAATACGTACATACATATATGTATGTGCGCAAGCGCACGCGCACGAATCTAAGTCAAGGATGTTGCCAACAACGTCTTCGATAAAAGGAAATCCAAATTAGCAAATCAATTTCAAATTATTGTCGCTATGTTGTTGTTGCAGTGGTTGTTGTTGTAGTTGTTATTATTGACGTGAGTTCACCTACAACGAATCCGAAATAAGGAAAAATCCACAGATTCATTTTCGCTGACAACATTTATTTTGTTGTTACCTCAATTGTTTTTGTTGTTCTTGTTGGGACATACAACGGCATAACTGAATTTTAAATGTTTATTTACTTACTTGTATTAATTGCGTATAATACATACGTGTACATACAAATGTATGTATTGTACAATATTCTTGGTAGGTTGAAAGGAGGTGAGTACAGTATGGGTGTACGAGTATGTGTGCCTGCTTGTTTGTATGTGTGTTAGGTAGTCGTGAGAATCCATTGCTCGTGTACGTCAAACGTGAATGCCATGAAACTTCCTATTAAGGAATTGCATACGACAAAATCGGCAATCGATGGCGACAGCAACAACATTGGCAATAACAACGACACCGAAGAATATTTGCTTGTTGCACCATTGCACCAGTGTTGCTTAATCCAAGAGGCAATGTGACGCCACCACTCACTCATTCACTCATTCCATCAACGCCCTGGTTTAAGATTTGCAACAACAATAACAGTAATAATAATACGCCGTCAAGCATTAGTCTGGACGCGGCTATTGAGTTTTGTTCAAATGGCGTACAGTAAGTTTTATACTTTCCCATCAAAATGGTAGAAATTTTCAAGTAAAATATTTGAAACCATTTTGAGAACCCAAAGCGTTGTCATAGCACCCTCAAGTGGTTCGACATTTAGAATTTTGAGCATCGAAATTTCCTTTGATAAATAAACTCCATAAAACTGCCATCATGCGGGCCGAAAAACTCAATAAAATTGCCAATAACCGACAGCGCCAAAACAGACAGGCATTCAACTCTTGCCAGTCGATGGAAGACCAGAGCAACTTCGAAATGTGTTTGTTCCTCTTTCAAGGTCCTTATCCATCTGATGTTTCCATACGTACGACGTGTTCTAGGCAGTGTAGCCGCTATCTCTCGATACGCTGAATTTAGTCAATGTCGCCATATTCCTCGTACAGCACATAGTTCCATCGTTAAAACTGCTCTTCGGGTTCGGAGCAGTTTATACAGCTGAATAAGATTTGTGGGGATACGAAATTCAGAAATTTTTCAAGCTATCAAAGGCAACGATGAGATGATGATATGAGAAGATTCTTTTTTGAAAAGCCATTTCTTGGATTTAAGGATTAGTGAATATCTGAACAATGATGGATACGCCAGATCTGAAGCGCCTATGAGAATGTCCAATCAGTTCGTTTCAATGCGCTCGGTGACGCAGATTGTGGATCCTATTTTTTTTTTGGATTAGATACAGCACACTTAGATTTAAAACGTTGAACATGATCCTTGCCAATTCTTCGCGCACCTATCTGAAAAGCTCAGCAGGTTAGAGTTAGTGTTCCCACCTTGAATAGAACGTTTTCTGGTCATCAGTTAATCAAATCACTTTATTGGCTGGTACATGAGTACATGCCCCGGTCTTGTAACCTTCTGTAAATCGCCGCATGAAATTTTCGATCATTACAACTGTCGGTCAGTTTTTTAATACCTACACTCTCAAGCATTTCGCCTCTCTCGTTTTCTGCCTGCATTCATTTGCAGTGTTGTGAGGTGAGTTGTGAATCTTATTTCTCTCTTGTGCGGGTACTGCTGAAAGAAGAGGGTTGCATAACTTGACTGCTATGCGAATATGGTCCGAGTTGCTATTTGGACCTCGTGGCAAGCGAGTCATTATACAAAAAAAAAATGGAAGTTTCGAAAACAGCTTAATAGCACAATAAACGAGGAAAATTTAAAACAAAAACTAAAAAAAGCAAAACAGAGAAAACGAAAGTAAACAGAAAAAAATCACATTTTTCGACAAGTAGATCGGATTATTTAAACAAACAAAAGGTTTTCCAATAAAAGCAGTTATTTTGACATTCAAATCAACATATCCCTTAAAAGATCGAAGGTTCCCTTGCTTATGTAGCAAATAGCACCGTCTTGTTGCAAGTAAACGTTGTCCAGATGAGTACCATCCAATTCAGGTCATGAAAAATTATTAATCATCTCTCGATAGCGCAATAGATTAATTTTCGAAAAAGTGAGGTCTAATGACTCCGTCGGACTTAAAAATAGTGTCAAGCAGTTACACATGGAGGATTGAGAGGTTTTTGAACAATAAATCTAGGATTTTCCGAGCCTCAGACACTGATGGCTGATGTTTTGCTTATTGAATTAGCCTTCGGGGTTGAAATGGACTACATAAGTGAAGGTGATTTTTCGATGAAACTTTTATGGTGAATTTTAATAATTTCAATGCGTTGTTGAAGCGTGTATCGTTCCATTTTTATTATTGGCTTAGTTTTTACTTGTCAAATTTTAAAAAATTACAGCGTGAAAGTGACATCTACCGGACAAGCAGGCTATTAAAACTAACACCCCATATTGGTAAACTCTTTGGAAAACCTTTTACGGAAACTTTGGAATGAAATATACAGTTTGGAGATTATTATTAATATTTGACCTTTAATTTGTGCAAATTTTGTGATAAAGACTTCTTGAAAATCTAATTCATCAAAACCAATGCAAAATAATTGAAATTTTTTGGGTAAAATTTTAAATGATCTGGAAAGATATTTATTTTCAAAAGAAACAATAGTAAAACGTCAAGTAGTTGACTCCAACACATTATGCTTTATTTCATAAGCGAATTTTATTGAAAATCACTGTAAAATAAATTAGAATTCATATTTATCTACTGGGTTGCCTATAAAGTAATTGCGGATTTTTTAAAAGAAAGTAAATGCATTTTTAATAAAACTTATAATGAACTTTAATCAAATATATAATTGCCATTTTGTTCGATAACCTTTTGCCATCTTCCTGGCAAATTTAGTATTCCACGCTCATAGAACTTCTGGCCTTTATCTGCAAAAAACTGAACCAAGTGCGATTTTATAGCCTCATCATTGCCGAAAGTTTTACCATTTAAGGAGTTCTGCAAAGATCGAAATAAATGGTAGTCTGATGGTGCAAGGTCAGGGCTATATGGTGGATGCATCAAAAGTTCCCAGCCAAGCTCACTCAGTTTTTGGCG